AGGAAAACTTGGCTTATTAGGCAAATCGAGCCTTGCATAGTAGGCTGAGAAGTGCGTTCTGGCTACTAGGTACGACAATATATATATATATATATATATATATATATATATATATATATATATATATATATATATATATATATATATATATATATATATATATATATATATATATATATATATATATATATATATATATATATATATATATATATATATATATATATATATATTGTCGTACCTAGTAGCCAGAACGCAATTCTCGGCCTATTATGTAAGGCCCGATTTAGAGTCCCCGCGGCCCGGTTCTCGACCAGGCCTCTTTTTTCTTACTCCCAGGAAGCAACCAATATCTGCTGTCTAACTCCCAGGTACCTATTTACTGCTATGTAACAGGGGCATCAGGATGAAAGAAACTCTGCCTACTTGTTTCCGCCTCCACCGGGGATCGAACCCTGAACCTCGCCTGGAAACACAAACCGAAACTTTCTCTATTTTCCGCTTGTTACAACTAGTAATAAAGTTATTTCATCTTGGCTTAACGTGTTTATGACGTATTAGAACGTTGCTACAACTTGCTATATTGGTTGTTATAACTGGTTAGGAGGTGTTAAAACTTGTTCGTACGTTGTACCAATGTCGTAGTTTCGGTGTGTGTTTGGCGGGTCAGGAGTAGGAATCCGAAGCACTGTTCACTCAGCTGTCAGTCCTCACATTGGCCACGCTGCGTAATCAAAAGGATTGGAAGTCGTCAGACTTGAACAGTCAGTGTGGTCTAGCGGTTAAAGTACCAGATATTGTTTAATATCTAATATCTAATAATATCTAATTTAACTATTCAAACAGTCTCTGTGGTGTAGTGGTAAGACACTCGCCTGGCGTTCCGCGAGCGCTATGTCATGGATTCGTATTCTGGCCGGGGAGGATTTACTGGGCGCAATTCCTTAACTGTAGCCTCTGTTTAACGCAACAGTAAAGTGTGTGCTTGGATGAAAAAACGATTCTTCGCGGCAGGGGATCGTATTCCAGGGACATGCCCGAAACGCTACGCTTACTAGTGGCTGTACAAGAATGTAACAACTCTTGTATATATCTAAAAAAAAAAAAATACTCTAAGGTGCATGGAGCCCTGGCTGTCTGGATTCAAATCCTTTCCAGACAACACAAGCAATTCGCTTGTGCACCACCACAGCAGGCAGGAGAGGGAAGCAGCAGCCACCTCCATCTGTCTGGGGGTGGCGCACAAGATCCCGACCACCGTCAAGGAACCATTAATTGAGGAGTTTCACTTAAGTTAACCTCAGTCCCGGTTAGACGAATAGTTTGTGCATTTTTTGATCGAAAGTAGTACTTGCATCATCACATGGAGGATCAATTAAAGGGGAAATAAATTGGTCATATGACTTTCGACTCGTCATGTGTGATATTTATTGTTCTCTTGGGTCTGAAATACAAATATAATTTGTTTTATGTATCCTGTATTTCACTTTATGGCCTTGGCTTTCAACTTAATCTATCTCATCTTATTTGTTTCATTTAATTTTCAGATATGTGTATCCTCTTTAATCAATCTCTTTTTCCCATCGACCTTCAAATGATGAGTCACAATAACTTTATATTGAGGTTATCTTGTGAATATTTCCTTGGCTTAGCGTCCCCGCGGCCCGGTCCTCAATCAGGCTTCCTTTTTGTTATACATCCCCAGAGAGCAGCTCGTAGCAGCTGTCTAACTACCAGGTACCTATTTACTACTAGGTGAACAGGTGCATCAGGGGTGAAAGAAACTACCCATTTGTTTCAGCTTCCGCTGGGGATCGAACCCGGAAACTTAGGACTACGAATCCCGAGTGCTGTCCACTCAGCCGTCAGGCCCCCAGACTGAAGATACGTGACTAAATAACGATGACCTAATCAACCAAACACCAGAAGATGAGGAGATGACGACGTTTCGGTCCGTCCTCAACCATTATCAAGTTGATTTTAATCGACTTAATAATGACCAGAACGGACCGAAGCATCGTTGTCCCCTCATCTCCTGGTGTGTGGATTCGTCATACCATCAACCTGCTTCTTGTCTACGTTTTTCTTGTAATGTCATATATATTTTACCCGAAAAATTTACTGTCTCTTATGTCGTCGTTCTTTGCGTAAAAATTTTACGCAATACAAGATAAACTTGTTCACCAGGTGACGGAGAGCCAGGATGGTGACGACCACGCTGGAGGTGTGGCGGGTGGCGAGGCTGGAGGTGTGGCGGGTGGCGAGACTGGGGGTGTGGCAGGTGGCGAGGCTGGAGGTGCGGCGGGTGGCGAGGCTGATGCTGGTGCTGGTGCTGCTCTTCATGGTCCTCAGCCCTTACCTACTGCCTCGAGAACTCTTCTACACACATCCTCCTAAACCACAATTTTCATCACTACCACCTTCACCCGCAAGCCCATCACCAACTCAGACATTACTAATATTATCATCATCATTAACATCACAAACATTGTTATCATCCTCATCACCAACAAGGGTATCACCACCATCATCACACAAGACTACAAGACACCACCCAGCCTATGACAGACGCTGCTACAAGTACCACACAAACCTTCATGCTGAGAACATATGCTGCAGAACATTCAACTTCAGTGGCTCTGTCAGCAGGATCCACCAGTGTATTATCAAGGCCAACGCCCATCTACTGAAGGTCCTCAGGTGGGTGTCAAAGGCGTAGCTCAGTGTGTACTCACTCACTCAGCCAAAGTAAGTAGTAGTCTAAGTACTCACTCAGTCAGCCTTAGCCTTGGCTAACACAACATCATATTTTCATTCACCTCAGCTCATCTCCATTCACCTCAGAGCACTATAATACATATCAACCCCAATCCATGAAAATCAAAACACCAAGTAAGCCTCAGCACATGAGTACATATATAAATATGTCAAATATAAATACACTTCAGCAGATATAAACCTCCACACATCTGCTTACACCTCAGCATATCACCACCACTTCATGCATTTTGTCATATTTGCAGTTGCTAGTTAGTCAATGCATTTGTTCAAATGCAATATTATGCAATATCTAAGTGTTAATCGAGGTGTACTAATACTGCCAGACCCCATTTGAAATGAAAATTACAACACTTAAAATAACCCTCCTACTCTTTTTTATGATTCATAAGTTCTTAAACGGGCTCCTGTCTATCAGAGAAACTTCTTACATTCTTTCCAGAGGAAATACCACTAGCACTGGAGGTGTTGAAGTTGCTGGTTGTTATGCTACTGAAGGTGGTGGTAACACTACTGAAGGTGGTGGTAACACTACTGAAGGTGGTGGTAACACTACTGAAGGTGGTGGTAACACTACTGAAGGTGGTGGTAACACTACTGAAGGTGGTGGTAACACTACTGAAGGTGGTGGTAACACTACTGAAGGTGGTGGTAATATTACTGAAGGTGGTGGCGGAGGGCCTGCCAGGAGCGTGCGCTGGGTTGTGTTGGGTGACTCTCACATGCGTTTCCTTCTGACTTCTTTCCTCACTCGCCTCAGAAGCCCCACCCTTCAGTACCGACTTAAAGAAAAGGTACGTAATATTCATGAGAGGTTTAGCTACTGTCACGAGATCAGTTGTATTATCCGGATGTGACAATCTTTGCAAAGCCTTCTGGAGTATCCACAACCAATTCACTGGGGCAGTCTGTAGCAGACCAGTAGCGGAAATTAAGAGTGTTTCATTAGTAGCAACAAAGAGAATATTGAAACACATGTCTGATGAAAATGTTTCTCACCTAACACATTCACAAAGACCTGAAAACTGTAGCTGTTCTCAAAACTTAAGGGTCGAATACACCACGTGTCAATGATGTGAAAGAGAAAACGTGCAGTCCTCTGAACAGTATATTGTATATATACTGTTCAGATACGTATATATAGGTTATATTGTAGATATCACGATATTTTAAAATGTCTCTTATTAACTGAATTCCAACCACCTAAGTTGAGATATACTGATCTTTGAAAATACTATTTGAATACTGGAAAACTTGGTATACTGGACCTGTAACCAAGATTTATTATATAGTGCACCTATTATGTAGTGTATGTGATGTAATTATAAGCTGAGCTTGTAAGTCTCTTAATCATCTTCTGTGGTCTAGTGTTTGTTATATCTTTCATAGTTATTCGATGGTCCAAATATCCCTCTAAATGTCCCGGCCCCCATTTCAGATGCTACGGAGTAATATGGGCAACACAATAAATAAAAAATATTTATATGTATTTCCCTGATAATATTTCCTGTAGATACTTAACCCCTAGATGCTCTGAGCTATTTGGCCTTCAACACCCAAAGGCGCATACAAACAAAAAAAAAAATTGTCTTTTAAACTTTATAATTTGTGCTCCCTGACCACGAGAGAAAAAAATATAATTGTACTTACCAATACCGTAAATGAGCCGACAATATGAGCGATGAGATCACACCCTGCATGCTCGCTCAAGCAAGGTGCGTCCCGGAGGCGTCGCGCGCGGTCTTCAAGCAGCCAGAGTTGCCACGAATTTATTTTCTCGGCACTATTTATAGTGTCTAGGCGTATTTTACCACAATTTTTTTTTCACTAATTGTGTTGAATATAATGTTACTTGGTGTTGAACTATAATGCAACTTGCATCCATTCAATATACACCTGAATAGTAGTGTCACAATTATGCGCACACAAATGTTTTCAATTACACCATATATAATATGTATTCAGATTTTTCATCAATATATATACACACACTCACTCAATATTTTTACAGGTTCTTGCACCATTATTGCACATTTAGAAGTCCTTGACACAGTGGTAGTCATTGAAGCAGTTGACAGCACACACAGGGACGGCACATGCTTCACACCAAGTTTGCACCGATTTACGTTTCTGTTCTCTCGTTTGTACTTGTAGGCCCCTCCTAACCGCTCTGCATACTCCGCCTCCACGCAGGTCGCATATCAAACCTGTGTCAGGTTAGGTTAGGGTCTGTAAGTTTCATTTCTTTGAACTGTAACCTGGGGCTGGTCCTCTCCCCCAGTTCGGTTGAGATGATCTACCTCCACAGCTGCTCTAACAAGGTAGTCCTTTATAGACTTACCTTGCCTCCACGCGATCATGGGAGGGTTTTGTGGGAATTTTACCCAGGATGGATGTTCACTGTACGTTTCCCTCATCCATGTCCATACTTCCTGGAGTTTTATCTTAAGCTGTGCTGCAAGGCCGGGGAAGAAAAGGGTTGGAAGAATCCCTCTCTTGTCTTCTACTTCTTGTGTTCTAGGTCTGAGTAGCTCTGCCCTTGTTTTTTCTCTGAGTGTCTCCTGGGCCGCATGTATTATTGTCTCTGGGTAGTCTCTGTTCCTAAACATATCCGATAGGTCATCAAGCTGGGGATATAGCGTCTCTTCTTTGCTGTTAATCCTCTTGAGTCCGAGTCCAAGTGAGTAGGGTAGCGATTTCTTCAAGGCTAGTGGGTGGCTCGAGTCAAATTTCAGATACGTATGAAGGTTAGTCGGTTTATAGTATGCCTTCGTATGCAGATCCCTTGTTAGCTGGTCTATATACACTGTTGCATCTAGGAAATTAATCGTGGAGTCACTGTGCCCGAGGGTAAACTTAAGGTTTTCATGAACTGTATATGACCATGAAAAGAAACCTTCTAGGCGCGGGAAATGGTCCTCCATTATTCCGAAGATGTCATCTATGTAACGGAAATATACCGCCGGTCCGTCCTTCTTGTGGGATCGTTTCCTCTCGAACACTACATGCACAAATATTTCAGCGATTGCCACACTACTGGATGCTCGTATCGCTGTACCGTTGGTTTGCCGGTATGCCCGTCTTTCAAATTGCAAAAGGGTGTTTCTCATCACATGGAAGATGGCCTCTTCAAGAGTTTCTTTCGAGGGGGTCCTCCATACTCCTGCGTCTTGAAGTTCCTGTCTAATTTTTGCTCTGTTATCTGTAAAAAAAGATGCTACTACCTTTGCAGCTTCTCTCTGTGGTATGCCCGGGTAGAGCGATACCACATCCATGGAAAAAAGGCGGGCCCATCGCGGGACGGGGCCTCTAATTTCTGCAATTTTCTTGAGGAAATCCGTCGTATCTTTGATTCTTTCCGGTAGTAGGCGTAGTAAGGGGTTCAGGAGAGCTGTGCAGATCCAGTCTACCGGCCTTGTTGGGGCCCGGCAGCCGCTTAGAACCGGTCTCCCTTGCCACGTTCCTGTTGTTTCTTCTAGTGCTTTATGGATCTTTGGTAAAAGGTAGAGGTGGGGAATGATGGATTCAAAGGCTAGGAAGAAATCTCTCGCCCCTGCCTGCATGAGTCCTCCTTTCCCGTCCCCAGTCTTGTTTTCGAACAGCTTGAGGACTATCCGTTTACTCCTCGTTTGGGCGTTTCTAAGCGCCTCATCCTGGATGTGTATCTGTTTGTAGGCCGCAGTGTCTGCCAGGTGCCTCTTCATCTCGTTCCTGTAGTTGTCCTTTCTCCAGGCGACGACAGTACCTCCATTGTCCGCCGGCTTTATCACAATATCCGCGCGTCCTTTCAGCGTTGATAGGGCGTCCCTCTCCTCCCTTGTGAGGTTGCAGTTGCGTCGTCGTTCCGCACCACGCTTGAGGTCGACCTTCATTTGCTGGATTACCGGTTTAAGGCCTACTAGGTTGTAGTTTGGGCACTGGACTGGTTTGCTGGGGTGGAGGTACCTAAAAGAGAGGGAGAGTTTAGTTCTTTTAATTGCTCCCTGTGACTTACCTTGCTCCGGCCGGAGGTTGCTCCAAACTTGGTTGATACTAGTTTCCAAGTTGTTACACAGATCCTCTATCGCATCTTCTCTCTTCTTACGCGCCGGAGGGCCTATCACGAACGTAAGTCCCTTTTCCAACAGCTTCCTCTCCTGTTCAGTAAGGGGTACCTCAGAGACAACTGTCTGTTTCAATTGTCCTCTTTTCTGCCTTAATTCCTGTTGTTTCCTGAGTTTCTCCGATCTCCACCGTTCCACCTTCTGTCTCTTCCTTGTTGCACACGAAGGCAT